CTCTGTCTGAGCGATTTTTAAAAGCTCCTTTCCGCACCGCGATACGAGGACAAAATAAAGTTGTGGCCCATGAACTCCCCATTAATGTGATAATATCAAACTGAATACCTTTCGCGGAGTTTCGTGGGGCTGGCAGCACGCCATAAAGTTGATGCAATTACGGGAAACTGATTACCAGAACATGTCGGCACAACAGCCTGAGACCCGGGAAATTGTCTAGTTTTCAGTCAAATGTCATGAACCGAGTGGAGCTGCCCCCTTCGTCGAGTTCGTGGCACTTCGAAACTGACATTTGCACTTTTTCCCAGGCCCATGCCTTCTGTTCCTGGCGCTCGTCTCACTTCCATCTAGCAATTTTGTTTTTTTTTTCGCTTCGTTTTGACTCCATTTTTCGTTACCCTTTTAGATATTCATATTTTGCCATTGATGATATTTTCACTACTTTCGTATGCATTACACGTACGGCGCCCGCACGGCCACCCATCTATATGTAACTGCTGTCTACTATGTATATGTATGTGTGGGGCTTTGGAAGGATCCAGGATGCCTGCCAGCTTTTGGGAACGCCTTTGGGCCGTATTAACTCTGCCCGGCCGAACATGGTTGTGTGCGTCGAATTTGCATATTTTTTGACTTAACACATCCTTCAAAAATTGCGAAACGCGTTTGCGATAGCTTTGGCATTTCCTTGACGTCTTTCCGCTTTTTCCGCTTTTCCTTCATATTTTCTATCCCCCTTTTTTTTTTTTGGTTTCTGGGTGAGCTATCTATTTGGCCTCACAGTTGAAAAGTTCAGGCCATTAAAGCCGAATGCTTTAAACACCGAATTGTGTCCAATGTGCGGGCCTGGCTTTTATGGGACTCCCGTGTGCTGGCCAAATTGAATTGGTCGCATTAAGCGCTCGCGCCCCATTGCGGCATTGCGGCATATATGTATGGTGTGTATTTCTGTTGGCCAAATTGATTCGCAGTCACTTTAATGGCTGGAGTGTATTTAAATTTCATGCGGTGCTGGTTTGGGCCGGGCTCTCAAGACTCTCAAGTGGCGCTAATCCTTGACTTTGCTGCTAATGCACGTCGTATGTCAAACACCAAAAACGTTTACTCCCCGCCGGTATTCCCCATTTTCATGCCTTTTCCCCTTTTTTCCCTTTTCCCCTTTTCATCTTTTTCCCTCTTTACCCTTTTTACCCTTTTCAACCACCCGCACTAGTAACGCAATTTATATGCCTTCCTCACTGGCTGGCTTGTTTGTCTTGGCAACGTCTTCTGCGTTTTTGCCCCTGCCGCAGTGCCCCCCTTTTGTGTGCCATGCATTTTTCTGCACTTTTGACTTTTAAGCGTGCACTTGGCCAGGCTCAGAGCCTCGCTTTCAGCCTCGGTTTCAGCCTCGTTTTCAGCCGCAACCCAGCCGCTAGCTTCCAACCCCTCCCTCCGAAAGCCTCACTCGTTTTGTACGCGTTGTTTGTCTTAAGGGATATATACTCTCTGGTGTATGCGAGGATATTTGCCAGCACTCTGCCGCAGGCATTTTGATAAGAAAAACAAACTCGCACACTGGCACATCACACAGGCACAGCGAGTCGGGCTCAAGTGTCATTTATGCGTTTTAATGCCGGAATTTAATTTTCAAATTAAGTAAATAAGTTCGCGTAAAAAGTTTCTATGGATACAAACCGAGTATCTTCATCTTGAGCTTTGCACAAAAGCCGCCCTGGGCTGTTCACTTCGCCAGTTGCAGTCACTCTGCAGTCGTAATGAACTCTTGGCATTGAGCAAAAATTGTATGATAAACTATAAGATACTTAACGTTTCAGTGGCACTTGAGTTGTAATTGAAGGGAATTGAAGGTAATTTGAAAGAACTATATTCGAATGTAAGCTGAATAAAAATGCCTAAACCAAACTGGAGTATAAACTGCATTTAAATTTAATTAGTAACAAATGCTATAAGCCTTTTTAGTAATAACGATGTGGAATTGGAAAGAGTGGAAAACCACTACAATAATAATACCCTACAAGTTTATAATGACATAATGTAGTTATTTTGTAATTATTATATTAACTATTTTTTTAGACGGGGGTGACGCAAAACCTGATAAGGATTATGTCTACTAATATTAAGTTATTTTTTTAATTTCTAAAATAAATATCAAATAAATGACTTCAAAAATATTACCTCCATGAGAACCGAGTGTAAAAATATGGAAATTACAGCGGAATGTTGTTTTTTATGCAGCGAGCTCTGTGCGACTTAGAATTTCTTCGGTTTCTTAGAAACCCCTTTCGTTTGAGGATGAGTTTCGAGTTCCGTTTGGGCCAACTGAATGAGCTGCTCTCAGATGTTCAGCTAACTGCACATAATGGTCGATACGATGGCGACGCGTTACGATTCTGCTCGATTCTCGCTTTGAAGTAATTTTCGTTTCGCTTATAGATTGCCTTTGGCTCTTGGCATTTCCGGGCAATTTTCCTCGGCTATTGTATCAATTTGCAATTATGTTTCAATCAATTTTATTGCCATCTAATCTGCGGAGCAAAATAGATTGCTTTTTGCAGAGCACTGAGGACATGTAGCCATCAGCTTTGGGGGCAGCCATGGATATGTGTTTTAAGTTCCGATTGAAGAAGCTTTATGTTCGTGCCTTTTCACCCTGGCAACATTAACAGGTTTTTTCCATTTCCTAAGACTTCATTCGTAAGGGGTTTGATCATGTTGACTCATTAAAATGGAATCAATTTGTTTCGGTTGTACAAACAGAGCGCGGTAGAGCCAATACAGAATGCGAATCGACATGAGAGAATGTTGTAGTTTTTTCGTGGATCCGATAACAAAGTTTGAAAATGAATTCGCTTTGTTTGTTTTTGTTTTTTTTTTTGAATTCAATTATTTTCATCTGAATCAGAGAGAAGGCTTCCATATTTTCCAATAAAGGCGGAAAACATTATTGACAATGCTCGTTTGGTTAACACGTTAGTTTAGTTTTGATGTGTTGCAGTTGCCCCAACTAATTTAAAACCGGAAAAAATAGTAACATTTTGCATTTAGTCATACATTTTATTACAGTTGAAGCAGTCAACAAAACAGTCTTATAAGCTTTAATTAGTCTTTTAGAACTAACTTTGGAATTTAAATAAAAAGTATAATATTTAGGTTAAAATATTAGTTTTATTTCCTGTCATTGGCCCAACTAATTTTAAAGCTGAATTAATAGTAAAATTTAGCATATAGTGAGGGTAATACAATATTTTTAATCGGAGACACAAACACATGTCATTCCGTTGAGTTCTGAGGATATGTTTTAAATTCCAATTGCGGAAGCTATATTTACGTTGCTGCAACTTGCCAACCTGCCGACTTGCCACTTTTGCACCTCCTCTCCTGGCCAATTGTCACTTTGGCTTGTTAGGCCCGAGTGTCGCTTTGTGGTAAATGACGCCGCTTGTTAGCCGAGTTAACGAGACTTGCAAGTCGCACAAATCCCCGCTCGGAGACTCATTACGGGCCAAAAGCCATGTGTTCGCTCAGTCGGGAAAATCAAAGGGTGTACTGTTTGCAGGGGGTCCCACTGATTGCGAGTAATTGGCCCAAACTGCCCACGCAACTATTTCATAAACAAAATCAGGGCACCAGCTGGAGGTCCGAAATATTCCGGCCAACCGATTACAAAGCCCGCTAACCGAATTTCCTGATTTCAGAGCTCCATTGGTGCACAGAAAAAAAGTGAAACACTCTTCAAACATGGATATTTATTTATATAACTTTTTTGACTCTGAGACCAGAAAAAAATAACACATCAGTATAATAAATTGTATAGAAACTGTATTTTCAGTGGCGCAATTCAAGAGCATAACAAACAAAAACCTTATTTATTTATTTATTTTATTTGCAATAAAGACACTTGAACTCAGTATGTCAAAAGAGTTTTCTGATTTGAAATGTAATATTGTTTTTAGGTCCATATATATACAAATAAAATATTACAATAACATGTAAACAATAATAGTCGGAATATAAAAAATATTTTTTTAAAAGAATTAACCAAAGTTATATAAAACTAAAATCAGGACCTTTTAAATTCAAAGGAATATGAAATGCTCATATTTCTGTGCATAGCTAAAGTGCGTTCTATTGCCTAGCATCGATAACATTTTGTCGGCGAGCAGCGAAACATTTATCATCAATTAATGGCATTAGTAAATGTTTGGCAAAGAATTTGGAGCTACCAAAATATTATTGTTATATATGCAGGGCCATAAATAATACCAAAATACCATTCTTTGTGCCCGCACACACACCACACACACACACACCACAAACACACGAACACACTCGGCAACTCGCACATTGAATGCAATAAATTTATGGCACATTTTAAATTCAATTGAATCCGTGCGTTGCTTTGTTGCCGCCTCCGCCAATCGGCTTGTATATTTCGTTTTTTAAGCCACACAGCGCCAGCAAATATTGCTATTAATTCTTAATAATAATAATAATAGCACCAGCAACGTGGTAAAGACTGGCTGTGTGTCTGCCACGATGACGACTGCACTTTATTTATGGCCTGCATTTTGCACTTTTATTGTTTTTAAATTTATTTACATTTTTTATGATTAAAATATTTTTCATTTGCGGCTTAAGAGCAAATTTATACTCGAACTGGGCGAGCCCCGCCTGTTGCCGTTGCTTTAAATAAGTTTTTATATATTATACTGGAACTGCCGCGGAGTTTTCAATAGTTGTGCTTAATTTAATTGCACACAAACACCGCGGGCATTATGCAAGCCCATCATTAAACATGTGGCCGGGTCATTTAATTAATCCACCATTTGGCCAGGAGCAGTTTCGATTCGAGTCAAAGGGGTCAGGTTAACTACACTAGATGTGGGACTCAAACGACGACTCACAGCACTCTAGGCCGTATCAGTCAATTGATTAAATCGCCTTGTTTGGAAAAATATTTGGATAATCCTTAGAAAACTTAGCCCCAAACAGCCCCAATGAGTTGCGACTTGAAGGACGATCTACGGCGCTTCCTGCATTGGGGTCCCATCACTCTTTTGGGTCTGACCCTGGTGGTCACCTGGACCGTAATCGACATGAATGCGATGTGGTGGACGCCGGGCGAGAGTCCTGGCTCAGTGGTCAACTACAGCCTGATCTGGTTTCACACCTTTGGCACTCTGTATCATTTTGTCAAGGCATTGCTGGTGCCGTAGTCCGGGGATTGGGAAGACGCTGGCTGATCAAACAAGGATTGTATCACATGGCCACGGTGCACTTGACCCCCTCAAATCTGATGGCCTGTGTCCTAAGTCTGGGAGTGACCACGGGCACGGGTTTGGCCAGCATTAAGTTGCTCTACATGCAGCTCAAGGTGATACTCAGGAACCAGACTGAAATCGAGAGCTGGATTGTGAAGAAGGCGGCTTTTCGTCGCAACGCATATCCTGGCAACAGGATCAGGCCATTTGTTTTCCCCTACAACTTGGGCTGGAAGGCCAACTGCCGCGAGGTCTTCCTAGCCAGTGGCGATGGCATCTCCTGGCCAGTTTTGCCAGGATGTGATCAATACACCATCACCAGGGAACAACTGGAACAGAAGAAGGACAAAAGGGCTCGTACCCGTAGCTACAGGTGCATTCGTCCTGCCACGGGCAACTGGGTGCCCATTATTTCACAGGGTTTGTGGACATCCCTCAACATTCCCTGCACCGATGATCCTCGCATTGTCCTGCAGCCAGATGATCTGGTGCAGGTGACTCGCATTCAGGACTATTGGCTATATGGTGAGAGAGTGAGGTCGGAGGAGGAAAACAAAAAGGGTTCGAGACGAAAGGATGCCATTAGGGGCTGGTTTCCCAGCTGTTGTGTCCTGGAGATACCAAATGAAGAGTCTGAAAAAGAGGAGGACAACGATGAAACGGAGCTAATGGACCAGAAATCTAAGAAGACATTCAAAGAGATTGCTAGTCAGAATAAAAGGATGCTGGATTTGGTCAGCCCACAGGGAAAGCCAAGAAAACGACTGCGCGTCCAGTAAAGTGTATTCCTTCTGGCGACTTTCATCCTGAAGCGAAATTCCTGACATATGCCGCAATGAAATGGCTAGGGTTAACCGACGCATTAATCTCTTAGTGCTTAATGCTTTTCAATAATGCATAAATAAATAAATAAATACTTTCGCCGAGGCAGCAGGCCAAATGAGAATGTTAATGTTAATGCCGTCTGATCGTCGGGAGTCCATTCTATGCCGCGTAATTGAGTCGCAGGCCCGATTTCACGGTACATTGGCTTTAAAGTGACGGGAGCAGCTGCTCTTAACCGCCTGTGTGTGCATCTGCTGCCAAGTAATTTGCAAAGCTCCATTGTTTTTCTTTTTTCTCTACTACCCAGTTAGGTATCCGTGACAGGAAACAGGAATACACACACACACACACACTCACACACACAGAGGAAATAAAAAACGAACTGCAACAAGGAAGAACGGCATTGAAAGCCGGCACGGGAATCAATTGAAACGCACGACCTGCAAAAGTTGAGCTGAGTCGCGGATTTGCCATTGTACAATAAACATGGCCAGGCCAATCAATACAGCTCTTATATCCTATATCCTATTTCCTATATATGTATCTGGCGATGGAGATGCAAAGGTGTATGGAAGACTGGACAAAAGGTGAATGCATTCCGCTGAATCATCAGCGTGGCGTCTATTAAATTGAAAGCCCGTCTGATCAATGGGAGTGAAATGTATACACCCGGTTGGCCAAAGCAAAAGGCATTGAATAATCACTTACGGCAATCGCCACTGGCCATGTTTTGAGTGGGCTGCTGTCACAGGATCGGCTTCTGGCCAGCAAACAAAGACGTCGACGCCTGGGGAAATACTCGGCTCCATGTTTGTCCAAGTCCAAGGCTGCGACTGCGTGTTTAGCTCAAAATTAGATAAATGCAATTTGAAATTGTGTGTAAGTTGTGGGAAACAGGCCGCTGGGAAATCAGTTGGCGTTGTCATGAGTTAATAGGCGCTGGGAATTGGCGCGATGGAGGCTGGTGTCTCAGTCTCACATGACGGGCGGCATGATAATTCAATGCAAAAGAGCGCAGTAGTCAATAAATATTTGCACGAAGTGTTGGGACACTTGGGACCGTGAAGTGGAAGGGAGCTTCTGGCCGGGACTTGTGCTTTGAGATGCCATCAGCAATCCAGGAAAATCCAGGACACCATCCACCCGCTCCAGCAAACCCCTCTAAGCTGCGTGCTGTTTTTGGGGTCATTTGGGTGACGGCGTGGAAAATGCAAAACAAATAATCGCTTCTGGCCAGTGGAAAATCAATAGAAAAAGGGATTTCGTTTTTGTCGGACTCTGTCTGGGGAATTGGGGTTAACATCGGGGCTGGGACAGCCGAGCATTCGAGCAGCAGCTGAAAAGTATGCAGTAAAAATAGCCATAAATAAATCTGCGTAAAAATAAAGCATGTGCCAACAGCCATAAACATAAACAATGCAACTTTCTGCTAGTTTCCTTCTATTTTTTTGCACTCTCTCCACGGCTCCATGGCAGTGCTTTTATAAAGCGGAAACAAAATACAAAATAAATTTTACATAAACACTTGCCACATAACAAAAGGGAACTTTAATGACTTTTGTCGTTGCAAAATAATTGTGCGTGAATTTTTTCGCTGCCACACACACAAATCGCTTTTGGGGGGAAGTTCGCGGAGAAAGACTGGCAGGACTCAGCTCGCTTTCGATGTCCTGCTGGCATTTAATTTCACGGACTGTCGTACATTTTATGCTTTAGCAACACTTTTGACTTTTATTTTCAGGCGCCCCCTCGATTTTCCATCTTCTCACCCTCCCCCATCTCTCGACTTAAAAAGCCCCCGATTTCACCCGCTTCTGTTGGCTATTTAGGGGGGGGTCGTTGTCTATTGAAAGCTGATACCCTCGCTTTGGAAAACGCTTTAAGGATGCTGCTTTGTCCGCCCTGGCAATTATGTGCACTATGACGACTCGGCATTTATCTGCTCGACAATGACAAGCCAAGCAGGTGGGGAGACACTCGTATCGCTTACAGTCTGGCAAGCAGAACAAAGGCAATTATGGCATCATTAGAGCCAGATGCAGCAATTGCATCGGCAGGAAGCACTTATCCCATATCGGTAGCAACCAGAGTGCCAGAGTGGATAAAAGCACAGCAGCTTGGCTCATCAGCCCAGCAGAACAAAGGCGAGCATATGCCAACTGCACACGCATCCAGATTAGAGTGAACCTTCGAGATATTGAAATAAAATAGAAACAACTGATCCTAAAATATGTTATTAATTTCCGACATTTTTAAAGCAAACAAGATTAAAACTATTAAAATAAATTATAAATGTTGTGTTTCAAAGTATGTTACCCTTTTATTTTTATTTTTATTTTTAAGTACGGAAAAACGTAGTTCTAAATAAAAAAAAATTATAATTAACATGTTCATAATTACATTTTAGGTAAGCTTGTATTTTTAAAAACAATGTTACATTCAAATATTTTAATTGTTAATTTTACTATGGGATTTTTCTGGATGATGCTCAATAGTATTATATTAAATAGTGCGTACATAGCCCATAATTATTTCGTAACGAAAACAAACATTTATTGAGACTTTTCGCAAGAATTTGTGGATTAACTTTAACATGAAAATTTGTTCAAATATACATTTAAAGATTTATTTGTAAGGCTCAGTGACCGAATAATATTTTCTAAATCAAACTAAAATGGGTTTCAGTCTAAAAAGAATACAAATTACGTCTTTCAAATCATTGTAAAGAGAAAATCAATTCTTAACAAATAAATGCCAGAAGTAAAGCCTATAATTTTACACCCCACTCAAAGCCACTCTAACGTAGTTGCCATGCTCCAATCATTGGCAATGGAACTTTCAAGTTAACATCGAATCAGGGGTGAACTTTGAGCCAACTGCTTAGGTTTAGAGCCACCTTAGAGTTCGATGACGGCAATCGCAATCCAATCAGAAAGTTGTTAAAATGTAAAAATGATCAAATGCGCCCAGGCGCTGAACCGTTAAGGATTCTTGGCCGTGGAATAGGGCCCGCTGTAGCCACATTTGAAACTTCAATTTACTACACTCGCTTTTTGGCGAGCTATAAATTCGGGGAATTAATATTGAATGCCGCCCGCCGCCGCCGTTCGCCATTCCTGCGATTTCCATTCACGTTCCGCATCGCATGGCATTGCATCGCTCATTCGCCCGCGCATTCAATCAATTCAAATGCCAAACGTCTAACAAATTGTACGATTTTCGCGAGGTACTGGGCTCCAGCTTCAGCTTCAGCTCCAGTTTCAGCTTGGGCTTTTGCTTTTGCTTCGGCTTCGGCTTTTTGTTATTAATTTGCGCCCCGGGCGGTTCGCAATTCCGCATGGATTAGCGCATCGCATCCCTGGCCGAGGTCCTCCGAGGCATTTCTGCTCCACTGACGGCCCTGATCTGTTGTGGATCATTGAATGGGCCAGTGCCAGTGCCAGCGGCAGTCGAATTCGAAGCTGCCGTTGCAAAATGTGAAATTGCACTTGGCTCCTCCGCTTTGGGCAAAGCTCTCATCATCCTGGTCGTCCTTGTTTATTTATGACGCTGGCCAAAGCAAAAGCAAAGCAATTTTTCATTATTTAAAATGAAGTGAATTGCAGTCGGTTGTTCCTGTTTTGCTTGGCCCCGGCTGCCTTGGTCGCTCCTTTTCATTCGGTCTTCATAAATAATTTATTAATTATAAAAGTTTCTGGCACTCTGGGCGCATGCAAATTCGTCCTCCTCCTCGTCGTCCTGCCGTTTGGCTCCGGTGGCAACAGTTGCAAGTGAAAGTTGGTCCAAATATAGCCAAAATATTACTTGCAATGTCATTTTGCGACTTGCCAGCAAAACTTTTTATTAGTTGGCACTACCATTGGCACTGGCACTGAGGCTCACTGGACTGTTTGTCCATCTCCAACTCCATCTCCACTTTTGGACTGGCTTATTTTTCATATTTTAATTGACAAAACTTTTGTCCAACTGAACTGATGGGTTTTTGCCAAGTTTCTGTTACTGTAGCCTAATCAAACAGTGCCACCTAAGAACCAACCCGACATCTTCAATCAGGCCGGGCTGGCACTTCAAGTTTTTAGTTAACTAAGAGGCAAGTTTCTCGAGATCCTCTTAAAGGCGGAAAAGAACAAGCACTCCACTTGCAGTTTTGCAGTTTGCCAAAGGGAATCTCTGCGAATATTTAAGGCTTTAAGTGGCTGCCATTTAATGGTGAATGGTGAATTTCGAATGGCGAATGGCGAATGGCGTGCCAGGCGAACGCATTTGTGAGTCATGTTTGATGCATGTGGCATCGTCACTCAGACTTCCCGCCCATCTTGCGGCAGTCGCGCACTGAAATTGTAGCAGCAAGTTTCTAGCCAGCCGCCTCCTTCAAAGGACCCTCTTTGCAAGTGTATATATCTAAATATGCAAATACTGCATATCTGAATGTCTCATAAATTCGTGATTGGTGTTGCCCCGCTTTGATGCCATATGCCATATGCCATATGCAATATGCCAAATCTGGTTTTAATGCAGATGCCACTTAGAGGCAGCATTTAGTAGTCTAGATCATGCAGCATTAATGGCTCTTCCAAGATGGGGACTACTGTTATTGGCTTAGACTATGTTGCCTAATGCGTCAGCATAACGAAATTAGCATTAAAATTTGCCAGATTCCATGTGTGACTAACGTAATTTTCGTCACCAGCCAAGTGAAACCGAAGGAATGGGGACGGGGGGCTGCGTGCTTTTAGTGGGACAAGGGACATTGATTGCCAAGGACAGGCATCTAATGAAGAGCTATTTAATGTCAGGAGGTGGAGGATTAGTCCCTTTGGTCAGGTAAACGAAGAAGGTTACACCATTAAGTCGCTTTCGAGCGAAAGCAGAAGGATTGCCGATGTTAATTAGTTGCTGGCACTCAGGCTAAAAAATAAATAATAATGGCCATGACAATAACCATGAATATTTAT